GCCGTCCACACACGAGGTCGTTCATGAGCGCAAAATATCCCTCCTCGTCTTTAAGGCCAAACACCATACTCACAAGACTCCCATCCAGTTCGTCAACCGAACGCTGAGGGGGGAGTAATGTTGGGATTAGGCCCAACACCCACTTCAGGCCACATATAACCGGCCCAATTAGGCACACACAGACCCAAGAGGAGGAGACATACCCACGTGAGCAGCACCACGTGGGCCAATGAGTTACTTATATGTATGAATACATGTCCGTACTTGGGGCTATAAATACCCCCCAACTACCAACAATGAAGGTAATTAATCTCTACGCTTCTCTCTCTGCAATTACTCCTTGAGAGCATCTCTCTCTAGAATATTGAGTATTGCTGACTTGAGCGTCGGAGTGTTTTCCCCGAGGAAACAACCTCGAGATTTTCAGGTGTAGAAGCAGCTGAAGACTTCAACAGTGTTGGATTGTGAAGCTGCCCAAACAAAGATAAAGATAAGCCTTGTAATGTTGAGGTAATAGCTTTGCCGGCAATGGCAGAGGAGGCTCCACTTATGGATAATCCAACCACTCCTTTGGTGAAAATGGGAAGGACTTTGTTGGATGGGAACAAGAGAAAGAGGAATAAATCAGGATCAAAAAGATCAGCTGAATGCAATGGCAGTTCTACCACAACAGATGCTGAAAATACTGTTGGTGCATCAAGCAAAAGGAGGAGAAAATCTTGGATGAGCCTCAAGGAAATTGCTGAGAGTAATGAGAAAAGTAGCAGTGGGAATATTACAGCAATCCCTTTCTTTTTGTGGGGAGTACATTTTTTTTTTTTTGCTTTAAAGTCGTATGTACTATGTAAGTTTATTCTAGCTTTATTATCATTTTTAAATCTTTATTATCAAATTTTTTTTTTAATGAATAAAACATTTTCCTAAGTTGTGTAAAGTGTAAAGATCATCAACGCACTACGCCCCATATAGATTTTCTGAAGTAGGGTTTGTCATATGGAGGACAAAGAGACAAGGAGTTGGTGTTAGGATTTGAACAGCCACTGTTTAAAAGTATCTCGTTTGGACAGCTTTATGAACAACTCTATAGATTGAGGCAGTTCACGGTTGCACCTCGTATTTTAGAAACCTAAAAAATGGTTCCTGTTAGGAGCCTGCTCCATGTTATGCATATATTACCCACAAAGATTATTATTATTATTATTAGTATTATTAAAAAAGGCCAAGATGGGATATCATTATGTGTATACTAAGGCCTTTGTTATACTATGGTTGTAATCTTGTCTTCACTACATCAAAGGGAGTTGTTAACACAGCAGTAGTTGATCCAGCTAGTCCTCCACAAACCAACTATGGATGTAGAAGATCATATTAGCACATATATAGACGCGACTCCACAAGGGTAGTTAAAAATCAGCAACAGCTAGCTACAAAAATTAAGATTACTTCAAAAAAGAATGGAGGTTGGATTACAAATCGTCTGCAATGTTTTTGGTTGTGTACTAGATGATGTCAAAATCATTTTCTTGAAGCTTTCATACTTGCAGAACTGCATAAATTGGCAATGATAATCTCCACAATTACAAGTTCAATAGACGCAATAGGGAGATCAAGGGCAAGGGTTGGAATCCAAAAGCATAAAGGAAAACTAAACTAGAATATCAAACGTCTTTCTTTCTTAGTTTTATGGCATAGTGCAAAGGTTAAGACATCAATCCATAATGTAAAAAGACCAAACCTTGATGATTGAGTGTGGAATGTTCTTGCAGAGTAGAGCCCCCCATCCAGTGTACGGTGAAGGTAAATGCCCTTTCTTAACTATTCCAACCAAAGCATTCCTATCACGACAAATGGTAAGTATCATAGAGAGAAGAACACTGAAGAGTAACTGGAGAAGTTGAATACCAACAGCTATTATAATGTGTATCAACCTGCATCTGCTGTTTTATATGCTCATTAGAGGTAAAAATAAACGAAGTAGCAACACTTGAACAATGATCGGCAAAGCAATGGGCTAAAGAGGGGAACTCTTGTACATAAGAATTGGGTTAGCATACAAAACCCCACAATGAATCTACCTTAGGGAAAATAGGATGCAAAACATCTTTAATTGACTCATATGTGAAAGTATAAACCGAAGATATTGGAGCTCAAAGATGAGATATTGCTAGCAATGCCACGCTATAATAGAATCCAGTTAAACCTGACATGTTTAAATTCATTAGTAAGCACTTAATTTGATATGCAAAATCTACAATTTGTATACAGTTTGATGTATTTGTGTAATAGAAATCATGCAGCTGATGGAGATGAACCTGAGCAGATCAATTCTTCAGTCAAGTAACAAGGCTACCTTGTCTCTTAAACTCGTCTTCTTTTTCAATGTGGGGACTCTTTCTTCTTGAACATCATTGAGACTATTTTTTTCCAAATCATTGGCAGCTGCAACATCCTTTGTAATAGATTCAGTTCTCTGCTCCTCTATATACGGGTTTATTTAGCAAATGACTTAAATACAGATCCAGCATATCCTGAACAGGATCCCCAGTTCTGCTGGTATTAACGGAACTGTGTTCATTTGCCAGACATACAGTTGAGTTATTGCTTGCTGCTTCATGAGTAGGTGAACTTTGCGTACCATTACTGTCTTTGAGACAGCCTTCTGACTCATTTCTATAAGAAGCCGTCGCTGGAAAATGCCTTTCTAGTTCACAATCCAGATTCGAAGATTTTGGTCTCTCCACATCTTTGTCAGCTTTGACGTACTGCACACAAATAATAACAATTTGAGAGATTTAGTATAAAATTCAAACACAAAAAAATCTGACAGTGGTGAAACTTTTTATCTCTTTTAAATTCGAGTTTAAAACAAAGAAGTATGTATTTTCAATTGGTTTTAGGTTGGATTCAAGTCTTGTATTGAGTCAACATGCGCAATTTTTACATGGTATCAGAGCCCAAGTTGTGTCTTGGAAAACCCATTGTTATCCCATCTGACAGAACACGAAATTAAAATAATATCGGGTTTACATTCAAGAGGTGTGTTAAACCATATGATAGAACCTGACATTCATACCAAGTCTATACTTAAAAGGTATATTGAGTGAGAAAATCCCACGTCGAGTTTAGAATAAAGAAGTATGTGGCTTAAATAAAAAGAGAACTACTTCACTTATTGTCAATTGATTTTAGGTTAAATGCAACCCTCGTGTTCGAATTCCATTACTACCTTCACAGCCACATTGACTGTAAGTTTACTGCCATCATCAATTGGAGATGGGAATTCAATATCTTTACTACCTCCAGAGCCAGTGCCTTCTGCTTTCATTTTACCCCCAAGACTAGATTCCTGAACTTCTCTCCTTTCTGCATTACTCTTCTTCTTTTTCAAAGCAATATTTCAGCATCACATTCGGCATCTTGTCCATTGAACTTTCTTTTCCATCTCTTCGTAGGCTTTGAAAGTTCATCTGAACTTGCCACGAAAGCTTCCTTTTCTTGAGGCAATTCAGCTTTCCCAGGCTTTCTTTTAGCCTTTGACCGGCTAATGACATGTCCTTCCACTTTGACAGTATCGTTTTTATCTCCATTATCCGACTTCCTCACTTGTTCGGCAGCAGAAACACCCGGTATCCATGATGGAAGGCGCCGTCTAGTTCCCTTATCATAAGCAATTCAACCATTTCTTTTCTTCCTAATTTCTCTGACATAATCTCGCTGTAAAAACACAGAGAGTGCACATCATCAAATATGGCTCACTTCACTTCTCTTTCCTCTTTTCTTCTCTTCTCTGATGAGTTAACAAATGCTAAATCAAAGAACATATGAAAGTAACGACACGGTTTCTCTCTTGAATTTTATGTTGACGAGAAACCTACACCCTACCAGTAGGGTTACATCCTACAATCTTTTTTATTTTTTATTTTTTATCTCCTTTATTTCTGTCTTTTTCATTTTTCTTTTTAATGTAAGGGCCCAGTCTTTCTATTTATTGCAAAAAAAGGACAAGAAAAATGTCTGCATGAATGCCGATCTCATTTCTCACTACTCTTTTTACTTCCAAAACGAAAAAAATACACGATACAATTGAACTGCCTTTTGGCACCCCCTCAGAAAAAAAAAATAAATAAATAATGAACTCACACCAGAAAATGCTTTTCTGGTAGTAACTATGCTCTGCAATTCATTGCGATTTACGACTATAAACCATGCAACCTTGACCGCGAAGATAATGGTGTACTGGAAGTGGAATTATCCTCTTCGTTTTTGTTGTGCTGTATGGTTTGTTTTGGCACATCCAGGGAGAATAAACTCTTGAACATTTCATATGATGCAAAAAAAAATTGCTCCTTGAGACATGTACATCACCAACCTAGGAATCAATCCCCTGGTAATAATAATTTGAAGAATTAGAAAGGGTGTTCGTATGTACTATATACAGTGGCCCCTGTAGTATCATTATAAGAGCTAGGAATTGCATCGGTGTGCTAGGACTAAGCAGAAGAAATTTCTCTATTTTATTAATTTCACTTCATTATGCATTGAAAATTTGTACCTGTAGAGACCTTTGAGACCTTCATGCTTGCCTATTTCTTGAAGGGCATGATACACGCTACCGTGTTGCAAGGATCCAGGTACCTGCATAACATTATTCTGTAATAAGAAATAACAATCTGGAAACTGGATGACACAACTAAGTTTGCAAAATCAAAATTCAATTATATAGCCACAAAGTATTTGTTATGGTGTACACCTGAGTCTGTAATCTTGTCTTCACGGCGTCAAAGGGAGTTGTGAACAAAGCAGCAGTTGATCCAGCTAGTCCCTACAAACTAGCTGTGGATGTAAAAAATTATATTAGCAAATATACTGAAGGAACTCCAAGAGGTAGCCAAAAAGGGGAAAAAAAAAAAAGTCAGCAACAACTAGGTACCAAATATTAAGATTACTTGAAAATGAAAAGAGAATGGAGCACAAACCGTCTGCCATGTATTTGGTTGAGTACTAGATGATGTCAACATCATTTGCTTCAAGCTTTTATTTATGTAGAACTGCAAAATTTGGTAATGATGACCTCATAAATTACAAGTACAATATGGACAATAAGGAGAGCAGGGGCAAGGGCTGGAATTTAAAAGCATGGAGAAACTAAACTGGAATATCAAAATTTATCAAAGGAGGACCAATCGTGCTCATGGAGCACCCTAAGTTTGTCAGTACTTAGACCTAATATAATGCCTCTGAACTATTATTTTTCCATTTTTATTTTCTCTCCCTAACTAGATGAAACGTCTTTCTTTCATGGTCCCATGGCACGGTGCAAGGGTCAAATCATCAATCCACAATGTAAAAAGACCAAACCTTGATAATTAAGTGTGGAATATTCCTGCGAAGTACAGCTCCCCATCCAGTATATAATGAATGTAAACCCCCTGTCTTAACTATTCCAACCAAAGCATTCCTGTTGCCACAGAATGGTAAGTATCATAGAGAGAAGAACACTTGAGAGAAACGGGAGAAGTTGAATACCAGCAGTTATTATAATGTGTATTGTGTACCAACTTGCATCTGCTGCTTTATAAGTTCACTAGGGGTAAAAAAAAAAAATATAGCAACACTTGCACAATCACCAGCAATGCAATGGGCCAAGGAGTGGCAAACCTTCGGATAAGAAGTGTGTTAACATTACACTTATAGTTAGAACAAAACCCCACAACAAATCTGATGTAGGAAAGTTTTGTCCACAAGCTGTTGCGGTAGCAGCAGGGACTAGAAAAATAGAAAGTAAGGGTTTTATGGGATCTAGGGCTATATAAAAAGGAGAATTTAGGGAAAATGAACAAAAAAGGAGACAGTAACACATCAAATCTACCTTAGGGAAAAGAGGAAGCAAAGCACCTTTAACCGATTCGTATGTGAAAGTATAAACTGTTGATGTTGGAGCTAAAGATGTGATATTGCTAGCAATGCCACGATACAGTCCAGTTAAACCTAACAAGTTTAAATTCATTAATAAGTAGAAAAGTAGAAGCCATTTTGAACTAGATTTAAGTTTCTAATTAATGTGCTAGTTAACCACCTTATATAAGATACCTCTAGTGCAATAGACTAAGCAATCAATTTGTGCATGGATGTATATAATACGAGCATTCAAGGAATTTAAGGGTGATGTGAGTTTTTTGAATTTAAATTCTTAATTTATCTATTAACTGTAGTTAAGTACATACTTATCTTTTAATCTTATGTATTTGTCTAGTATATTTACATTTGGTCATAAGAGGATGAAGTGGAGTTGATGAAAAATATTGTGCTAAAAAATCTCAGAAACACACGGTTTTAATTGTGAGGCATGGTATTGAGCATAACATACCTTTCTTTTTTTATTCAAAATTCTTGAATACAACATAAGGAAGTAACAAATATACAAAGGTTAAGAAGCTTGCTTAACCATTTCTATTATTCCAATGTTGAAAATATGGAAGAAGCAATGGTTATTAATCACTATAATTCTAGAATCAATGAAGCGAAGAATGTGAGAGTTGTAATAAGAGATGCATATATATGACACTATAATCAGAGCACTAATGAAGTGATTTCAATGTAACTTTATATTTTCTCTAATACTTATTAATGTATAAAATATGCACTTTTATTAGGCAAATCAACCTAATCAATTATTATAAGATGAGAAAGTTATTGTTCCCTCAAAGACTATTTTATACTACTAAAATGATATTAATTTAACTTAAGTTGAATTAATTGATTAATTGAATACAATTAAACTACTTAATTTGAAAGAATTTTTTAAGAGGAAACTATGGATGAAAAGGAACTAGGGTTTAGATATCTAAATTAAATTTTGCAACTGATTAATTAATTTAATATAAGATCAAATAATAATATTATTGCATGAAATGATGGATTTTTCTTAATTAATTAACTAGTTTTCTCAAGTTAATCCTTTTCCTACTTGTTAAATTAATCATATTTATATGTAATTTAAACAAATTGATAAGTATTAAATTTTATGGAAATCTCTATCTTAAGAAGGGAGAACTCCTAACTTTCTTCTCTTCCTCTACTATTATATGTGATGCTATTTCCCTTTCAGTCTCACAATTTAACACGCTGTTTATATTATTATTAATCAAACTCATGTAATCTTTTATCAAGTTCATGCATAAGTTATTATATTGTTATTAGACAAACTCATATTATTATATGTGATGCTATTTCCCCTTCAGTCTCACAATTTAACACACTGTTTATATTATTATTTGTCAAACTCATGTGATTTTTTATTAAGTTCATGCATAAATTACTAGACCAATCAAAAGATGATCAAAATTTTAAAGCATTAAGTTCAATAATATAAACTATCATGTAAATAACTCGTAGGTGTTGAATTGAATTAAAATCAATCACATAATCCTATAATTAAAATCTATTTAACCCTAATTCAAGTAATTTAGCCACTCATAATCAAATCTAAAATAACCATGAAAAATAAAGAAAAAAAAATTCAACAAACAAACATTAAAAAATTAACAAGTACGAATGAGAAAACCAATCCCCTAAAATAAAAATAAGTCGAATTGTGCTTGAGTTTTTCTTTACTCAAACTTGAGTTGTTACTGTTGCTGTTATTGTCTTCTCCACTAGTTTCTCAAAATAGGTTTGCTAAGAAATTGAATGAAAGAGGTAGAGAGAGTTTGATTGTGAAGTTAGTGTATATATATATACAAAGGACAAAAGTTTTTCAATAGTGATGAAGTTAGACTTGTACAAAGAATAAAAGATGAAGTTAAAAACTTATCCTCTCTAACTCTACCATTGGAATCAGACTACAAAATAATTGAAACCAATAGTAGTAGCGAAGGATGGGGAGCAATTTTGTAGTTAAACCAAATGAATTTTCATCTCAAAAAGAAGAAAAGATTTGTAGATACTCCAGTCAATTATATAGAGAAAGTAAAAGTTTTTTAACATCCCTTGATTTTGAAATATTAGGAGTGATAAAATGCTTTAAATTCCTTTAGACTTTTTATACAAAACGATGTTTAACAATTAGGACAGATTATGAGGCAATTGTAAAATATTTTCAAAAGAAAAATGCAAAAAGTCTTTCTTCTAAATGATGGATGAATTTTGTAAATATTATAACTAGAAATGGTTTTAAAATAAAATTTGGACATATCAAAAGTAAAGATAATTATCTTGTTGATTGGCTAAGTAGATATATTCATTCTTCTCCTATGCAGGATCAAAATGAGACACTCGAATTTAAGCAAAATCAACAATAGAGGCAACACCTCAAGAGTTAGGTCCTATACAGAAGGTTCCAATTTGAATCCAATTGCTAATCAACTTCTGAACAACATTCAGGGGAGTTTTGGCAATTTGAACCTCTTTTAGAACAATTTATGAACCTTAGCCCAATATTTGAAAAAATATAATAAATTTAATTGTTATGTTCTAATCAAGGGAAAAACCTTTAGAGTTTATAAGAGGTGGGATGAAATCTTATTCCAAATACAAGATTTTATAATACCACTTTATAAAGGGTTTTATCTAATCGAAGAAGCTATTCAATATGCTCAACAGCATTTTGGAGACAACTTTTTCATTAGCCCTTATCTTTTTCCAGATTTGTAGGAACCTTCAGGTGAAATAATGAAGACCACCTTAGCCCCATTGGCGGGTGGAAGACAATTATTCCCCCATTGGGAATTAATAAATATTTAATTGAAAGATCCTCCTCAACTTCTACAATTCCATTAATGGATGACACTCAGAGGCAACTCAAGATGCGTTTCAATCCACATGTTCCCTTACTCGAGTTGCCAAATGATTCATTATTCTATATTCATATACTTATATATGGATGAAGAGATTCTTATGTAGGCTATTTTCAACTTCTTTCTCAAGGATTTTTAAGGAAAGATAATTACTTTTCATAACCTACACCATTGTGGAGATAAGGGATAATAAATAAATCAAACAAAGGAATAAGCATGCCTTCCTCCAAAGTGACTATCATGAGACATGTTCCTCAAAAGTTGGTCACTTTTTATCTTTCCAAAAAGATAAAAATGATTGACTATGGTTCTCTATAAATAAACCTAGGGTTAGTTAATCATAATTACTTTTTTATAACTAGAGTTAATCTTATTGTAGTTACCTTTTGTAACCTAAGTTAGTTTTTCCTCTATAAATAAGATAGAAGTTAGAGCAAGTAGGTTGTAAAAAGTCATAGGAGGTGGTAGAAATAAGAAGTCACAAAAAGAAAGAAAGAGTTCAGAGAAAGTTCAAAAGTTGTACTCATCTCAATTCCTTTGTAACCTGTGCTTTTTCAAGTATGTATAAAATATATTCTCAATTATTTACTTCCATGTGTTATCTAGCTTAAAGAAGTTCTTTGGCAAAGAGAATAGTTTGTAGCTTCTATTTTGTCTCATTATTCTATATTTATATACTTATGTATAGATGAGGAGATTCCTTTGTAAGCTATTTTCAACTTCTTTCTCAAGGATCTTTAAGGAAAGATGATAGTTTTTCATAACCTACACCACTATGGAAACTAAGAAAGTTAAACTTAAATAGCCTGATAGGGAAGAAATTCTTTACTACGTAGCCTTACTGGAGAGTATCCATTGGAAGTTGAGAATGGCATCTTAGGAGAAATCACCAGGGATTTGGAAATCAAGTTTTTTTGATTGGGTTGGTCACTAGCTTTCTTGGGAAAGAGGGGGGGTGAATGTCTTTTAAAAGATCTTTTAAGTCTTTTATTTCACTTAGGATAATTTCTTCTTGATTTTCAAAGATTCGTAGTAGCAAAATAATTTGGGTATTTTGTTGTCCTACTAATACTTGATCTTGAACTGCTAAGGGTTGAAAATTGGTTAATTTGTAGGGATTTCCTAATTTTCTTGCTTCTTTTAATGCTTCTTGATAGTTTGAATTTTGAGTGAAAGGGGTTTCACATATTCAAATCAAGAATTAATTTTTGAAGTTTCTGGACTTGTTTTAACAACTCTTTTTGATTTTGGATCAAGATGGCTGTTTGATGCTAGATATTTTGAACAAAAGGGTCTAACTCTCTTTTAGTCAAGATTTCAGAATTAACTAAATTGACTTTGTTTTTGACAAGTTTAATTTGTTGTTGCAAGTAGTCTTGATTTTCAATTACTCTCACAAGAATTTTGTTGCGATGATTTTCAAGGTTTTGGAACCTTTCAAGCACTATTTTCTTTTTCTTTTTTATAATTTTCTAAAAATTTATAATTAAGTCTACAATACTATTTAATTAACTATTATTTGAATATAATTATGACTAAATCCTGGAAAACTACACACTATATTATGATTATCTAAAGTTACTTTTGGTTTTTTTATAAGGATGTGAAATAGCTAAATCTAAATAGTTTAAATTCATATATTTTGGCAAAAATCCACAGATTGCCCTTCAACTTTTCGAGCGTGTGGAACTTTACCCCTCATTTTACAATATGTGATTTTATACCCTCATGATAATCAAGTTTATGATTTTAAACCCTTATGATATTCGAGTTTATGATGTCATACCCTCCTAAAGTTGTAAGGTAAGAGGTAAAGTTTCACACATTTGAATACCAAAAGGGTATAAAATCATATTATGAGGGTATAAAATCACATATTATAAGGTGAGGGTTAAAGTTCTACACACTTGAAAAGTTGAAAGGCAATTTGTGGGGTTTTGTTCATATATTTTTTACAAAGATAAAATTTGTTGACCAAGTTAAAATACAATAACAAATAACAATATTGTAATAGTTTACAATTATAGATAATAACAATAACACCAAATAATATTTGACAAAGTTATAAATATATACAATAATAAATATTGACAAAAGGTAAACAAATATTATAATATTGACAAGTAGACAGACAACAAATAAGAAAATAAATACAACATAGGAATACAGCAACTAAATATTAACTAAAAAGCAAAATAATAAACCATTATTGACCAAATGGTAGACAATTTTGACCAAGAAGGTAAGCTACGTAGTAAACGGAAAAAGATAGCAATATGGAAAGTCTTGACTTTTTAACACAAATGGATTAATGTAGTTTGACACTAAGTATTAAAGCAAATAAGATAAAAACTCTACTGAAATTTAAATAAAGGCAGACGTGAAAGAAAGCTATATATCCCAACACAAATTAATGCAACTTGACCTTTCTACACAAAGCAAGTAAACTTTTAAATAACTAGAACTAGAAGCTTTAAAGATTTCATGCAGTTAACAGAAATATAAGAAAACTAATACTTTGGCAAAGATTTTCGTCTGTGAACTAAAATACTCTTTCTTGCAAATCTTTCTAACCCATTATTTTCTTCTCTTTTGGGCTTTTGACTTGTGGCCCTAAGAACTGCTAGCCTATGATGCAATTTAGGCTTGAGATGGAATCAAGGCGCATGACTTGTCGTACTCCCAGCAAACCACATGTTAGGTTTGAAGTTTGCAACTGAAATTTTGCCTTGAAAACACTTGAATTGGATTGAATGCATTAAAGATGAAGTATAGCTCTATTTCTCAGATTTCCAATACCTTAAAAATCACTTCAATCTAATATTGGAGAGAAAGTTATGGCTAAAATGCTACTGTATGCTTAAGTTGCTACTATTTACCTATAAAACAATGAACTCCATGTAAATTTTTGTGAGATGAAGTTGTGAAAAACACACAAAAATTAATTTTTAACCCAAAAAAGATATGTAAATATATATAAAAATTAAACTTATCAAATATTTCCAAACTTAAACTCTTGCTTATCCTTAAGTAAAAATAGAGTTGAAAAAAACAAAGCACGAACACATTTTCCAAGACACAAATAAACAAGCATTGTCAACATTCAAACTTGATATTTAATTCAAAATCTAATAATACCAAACAAGGGAGTCAATCATAACTATTATCCTTATATCCATGCACATCTCTAAATAAATATATTTAAACATATAGTAAGCACCATTGAAACATGCAACGGTCAGGCCATATCATTATCCCTTTCTTCTCCTATTATTTATTTATTTTTCAATTGCTTTTGTTTTTTGGCCATATAAACAAAATACCTTTAATAAATCAGAACAAAAAAATTTATTAAGAATATTTAAATAGTTTTATAGGAAATTCTGATATTTCAAGTGCTAGGATCTACTGATTTTTACTTTTATCTAATCACATATTGCCTCTAATCAAATTTAGTTGTTTCAATTTAACTTTTACATGAAATTTGATATAATAATTTTATGTAATAAATAAATGATAATTTAAAATTTTTTTATTTAAGAAAAAATATTCAACAAATATTACAAACAAAAATACAAAAATTTTAATTATTATTTATTTATTATATAAAATTATTTAATCAAATTTTATATAAAAATTAAAAAATTAAACTAAAGTAATAAAATTACCGACCTAAGAAAATAATTATTAGCGCAAATTAGTACGGATACCTTGTTTAATACTCTCGAACCACTCATTAATATCTAAGTAAAAGAGTACAGTTGCAAGTGTTAGGGCGGTGAAAAATGAAAAATGATTGTGATAATTTTTTTTTACCATTTTTTTAGTATAATTTAATAT